AAATCAAAACTTTTTGTTTACTTCGGACCCCACTGTGAAAAAAATTTACTCTACTGAAAAGTGACCTGGTATTACAAATTTGCGCATTTAATAGGGATTCTGAAAAGGTATTACACATGGCCATGAGCCGCTCTTATATCTTTCTGTATATTATATATCATAAATACGAAAGCAGCGTTTTTATTAGAAAACTTTTTCCTCTCTTCATTTATCTTAATTAAACCCGATCTAAACTAAATAAAAATCTCCGACCGCTAGAAAATAAATTAATAATGAACAAGACCTAAGACGTATTTTAACTAATTCACTCTCGACTCTTTATTAACAGCGTTAGACAAAAAGAAAATAAATTTAACATTGATCAGGAAATCGGCTTGCTTTTTTATACAGTTGATAGCTTTAATGAGTATTTTGTACTTATTTAATTCCGAATGCTCCTACTAATATTATAAACGCGAAAGTTTGTAAGTATGGATTGATTGTAACTCTTTCATGTAAAAGCTAGTCAAGAGATTTTAATGAAACTTTACAATAATATAGCTGATTATGTGTAGGTATTATTTTTACCTTTTTTTATAGAATTGGGGGCAAACGGGCAGGAGGCTCACCTGATGTTAAGTGATACCGCCGCCCATGGGCACTCTCAATGCCAGAGGGCTCGCGAGTGCGTTGCCGGCCTTTTAACCGCCCGCTGACCACTCTTGGAAAATGGATCTTTCAAAAATCTCATCAAGTCTATTTTTAAAAGTTTCACATGTTGTTAATAGCTTAATTCTAAGTCAGATAGCAAATGCTATTAATCCCCAGTAACCAATGACAATGAAAATTAATTATTCGCAGCAAAAGTCGGAAGGACAAAAGACGTGATCAACATGCCACGTCGAGGGAGCTCAGTAATGGGAAATCAATGCGTGTTATATAACTCATTCACCCCTGAAAATTCACCCGATAAACATCAAAAACATTATAGAATTTTTAATTTCGTTTTAATTAAATTGTAATTTAATTTTAAAAGTGCCAGTGTTTCACATTTCCTCATTCCCATCTGATTGCTTTTAGCGTGGGACGATAGAGAGTTGTCGTCTAGAATATATAAATAATAAATATATATGTGTAATCTTTACAATAAGGTTCATCATACTAATAAAAAAAAAGTGCGTGCGTACAAAGTAGGTCCGGTCCACATGTCAGAAGTGAAACTTCTTTGGCAAACTAATTTTTAAGTCTTGTTCAGATGTATACAAATCTAAAACTTTAGATTAGCGAGACTTAGAGGGAGGGAAAAAGGAAGATGTTAGGAATTTAATGAATTTAATTGTCATTAAAATATTAAGTGTCAAAATACAAATTATAAATTTGATTTTTTAAATTTATTTCTTCTATAGTAAAAACACGTGTCATTTTACAAATCGTCATTTGACATTACTGTAACGGACGTGACGTCGCCAGTCACATCCTGCCAAGCCAAGTCAAAGCCAAGCCAAAGCCAAAGCCAAAGCCAAAGCCAAAGCCAAAGCCAAGCCAAAGCCATAGCCAATGCCAAAGCCAAGGCATGCCATGTTGACCAACCCTCCAGCCAACCGCCATGCCTGCCAACCACAATATAAACCAAAGCCAGCCATATTAAAACCTACTTTTTGGAAGACGTAACAAATAAAGAACAAGTGTGCTGTCACTCTGCCATTTTATTTTCACTGTCAATTATAATAAATTAGAATACAATTATCAACAAAAGAATAGGTCAATTATACTCAGAAGTGCGATAAAACGACCTCGACCACAAGTTTTTCGACCTTCTGATGAATCAATGTCGGAGGAAGATGAGGATACTCCTTCACCGCCGGCACTGAAGCTGCTCAAGAATCTGCTAATAAAAAGAAGTAATAAAGGCTCTACGCGATCTTCAAGATGACTGTGTTGATGAAGCTCCAAATAAGTCACAAGTATATCGTGCTGCATTTTTGACTGCGGCATTCGACCCTGACAGTGAGGAATATATATATGATAAACTACGAGGTCAAGCGAAGAAGAGGTATAATCGCCTGTAGGACTACGATTATACGTGGGAGCAATGGAAAAAGCATTTCTAGCATCAAGATGGCCGACGTTAATCTTTTGATCGGTCAACCTATCGACAGCGAAGTCAACAAAGAGAAACTTCCACCTGGCTCTTCCATCATTCAAGTGCGCGTTCTGGAGACCCCTCCCTCTACCCTGCTCCGTGGCGAAGATGGTTACATCAAAGTCGTCAACAGGAGGTGCGAAGTTATCGTGTGGTCGCCGGGAGAGGTCCTAACCAGGGCTGAAAGCTGCCAGGAATCCCCGTTACAGCCAGGTATAGCCAAGTACTTTCCCTTGCTGCTTGCCATACTTTTGCCAATTATAATGCCAATAATATAGGTCAACCCGTAACTACTGATTTATGTATAGGAGGTGAAAAATTAGCCGACATACAGAAAAGACCGTTAAATAATAACAACATTCCAAGCATATTTTAACTTGGTATGATCCCGCAATTTCTACGGAAATACATACTGACGCGTGTAAATTGGGAAGAGCCGGTATACTTCTATAAAGGCAGACTGACGGTACGTTGCGCCTCGTTATATATTTTAGTAGAGCATGTATCATAGTTATGAGCTTGAAACTCTGGTGGTCGTGGAATCTTTGCGTCGTTTTCGCGTATACATTGTCGGGAAAAAGGTTAAGATTGTTACTGACTGTACAGCAGTCCGCGCTACGCTTACTAAACGCGTCATTATACCACGTATCGCGAGGTGGTGGCTTTCTATACAAGATTACGATATAAGTGTCGAGTATAGGCCGGGAGAACACATGAAACATGTAGATACGCTTAGTAGACATTCGGTTGATGCTATGAACATGAATCGTCTAGAAGTGGCGGATTGGTTTTATACGGTGCAATGTGAGGACGATAGTTGAGCGCAATCGTTAGTCAATTAAAAGATAATACCGGCGGATATCAAATAATTTCGAAATTATTGATAATAGGCTCTATCGTAAAAACTTGAACGACAATAGGTTGGTGGTTCAAAATTCGGTCAGATAAAAAAAATACAAATACACCATGACGACATTAGTCACGTAGGATTTAATCGCTGTAGCGAATTAATCAAAAACGAATTTTGGTTTCCATAAATGACAAGATTTATCAAGAAATATGTGACTGCATTGCATTGCATGTCTTCATTGTGCATACGGCAAAGGGAGCTACGGCAAAAAAGAAGGTAAACTCCATCCAATTCCTAAGCCCTCTGAGCCTATGAGAATGGTTCATATTGATCACATTGGCCCTTTTACTAAGACAAATAAGGGGTATCAATATATGCTCGTTATGACAGACGGTTTTTCTAAGTTTGTAATAGCTGAGCCAACGCGTACTGTCAACTCGATCGAAACTATTCGTGCACTACGAAGAATATTTAGTTTATTTTCCTTCCCTGATCACATGGTCACCGATCACGGAAAGGCGTTCACGAGTAGGAACTTTAAGAAGTTTTCGAATGATAAACAGTTTAGACATACTCTCAATGCTATTGCTTGTCCGCGTTCTAACGCTCAAGTGGTACGTACAAATAGGATAATACTGGATGCATTACGAGCCACAGACCCCAGTGAAGCCTCTAGCAATTGGGCTAACTCTTTGCCGACATAATTTGGGGAATTAACAACACAATTAATAACACCACCACTTACAAACCTTACGATTTGATGTTTGCTCGGGCTGGTAGATCAGTATGTGATGTTGCGGTTCCCGGGCGAGTTTCTGAACCAGTAGAGTCGTGTCGAAAGAAAGCATCTAATAGGATACTAAAAGCGAGTGCTACAATAAAACGTTACTTTGACAAAAAGCGAAAATCTGCTCACATCTATAAGAAGGGTGATTTTGTGCTATGGCGACAAGCACCGACTTGTAGCGCATCCAAAGTTAACACTAAACTTGACGACTTGTATTCCGGTCCTTATGTCGTAACTAAGGTTACCTAATGATAGGTATCAAATGAGAAGTATAAAGGGTTTACGTGGATATAAGAGTTTTACCAGATTAGTATCTGCCGATTCGTTAAGACCCTATAAAAGCATTATTACTGTATCTGATAGTGCCAGCAGTTCAGATGAGCAACTTGAAACCGAAGATCTGATTGATTTATTAGAGAGCTAATTGTAGTTGTTGTTCCCACGGGATCAACTGTTTCAGGATGGCCGAGTGTAACGGACGTGACGTCGCCAGTCACATCCTGCCAAGCCAAGCCAAAGCCAAGCCAAAGCCAAAGCCAAAGCCAAAGCCAAAGCCAAGCCAAAGCCATAGCCAATGCCAAAGCCAAGGCATGCTATGTTGACCAACCCTCCAGCCAACCGCCATGCCTGCCAACCACAAATGCCAGCCACTTGGGAGGGGATGAGTCTATATAAACCAAAGCCAGCCATATTAAAACCTACTTTTTGGAAGACGTAACAAATAAAGAACAAGTGTGCTGTCACTCTGCCATTTTATTTTCACTGTCAATTATAATAAATTAGAATACAATTATCAACAAAAGAATAGGTCAATTATATTACAATAAATTCTTTTGCATAAAGTATAAAATACTAATATTTCATTAAATCTTCGTGAACAATAAATCGCTCCATAGACCTTTGATAACTTTATTAGAGACATTTAAATAATTTTTCAAATATAATGCAGTAAGTATTAGAAATATTTGTATCACTTATTATTTTCCCGATATATGAATTGGCAGACAAGCCCTAGTAATTTTAAAAGTTTAAAGTTATTTAGATCATAGATTAAACACGTATTAATCCAACAAATTTCAAACAAATAGTTGTTAAAAATCCTTAATACTTAATACATAATTTTATTATGTGAATAAACTTGATTGAACACGCCCTAATGTAAGAAAATGTTAATTCAAACTAAAGAATCTTTCACTGGTAAGACCTGCAGCTTCGTGTAGTTTCTATATATACATACTCACAAGTAGGTTGATAATTATGTTGATAAGTATCGGCTAATACGAGTATGTGACTGCCCCGTCGGAAGGGGTCGTGATAAATAACTTCTGGGAAGATAAACGTGTCAGAGTTGTCAGAGCTAGCCTGCGCTGTGTTGCTTCCATCGAAGTACCAAATGGGCAAATCTGAAATAAGTTTTACCTTGGTAACACTGAAAATGTTTAGAACTGACCAGTTAGAAATATTGCTAATGAAAACTTTTTTTGAATTTCAATTTTAGAACTCATTGGTAACCTAATGTAGTGGGCTCCCCCACGATGCTAAATGGGGATTTACTCGAGCGTCGTAGAGACCTATTGGGATGCAAAGCTTAGATGATAAGAAGAAAAAAATGTTATATGATAAATATCTTTTCATCGGTGGGGGAAGCGGCTATAGATTGTTAAATATGTAAAAAAAACTGTTGCATGGACATCCTCGAGCGCGTCAGATATTGATAGCATCAATGCCCTACGTATTTTTAATAATGTACGTATGTTAATCTGATCGTTTGCATGATGCGGGTGGTTGTATTTAAGGGTTGAAAATGAAAAAAAAATAATTATCGAGCGCGTCAGATTTTTTAAGGAGTGCACCAAAAAAAGCTCTCATTCACTAATCTGACGATTTCGATGGGACGCAAACCCACGGCCATTTTCATAATTTGCAAAAAAAAATCGCAATTTTGAAATACTCAAGCGCGTCAGATTAAGATATATGTGGTTCATCTTTATGTTCTAAACGTACTGTCTCATAATCTGACGATTATCTAGAGGGATTCGCCTGATCTGACAAAAAAAAATTTGAAAAAACGGTTCACCTTAAAGGCCATCCCTGCAACTTCACGCTATTTCCATTCCTGGGCGCTTAAAATTGATAATTTAAGTTCCCTGAGTTCAAAGAAATAATATTTCTATGCATTTGAGCTCTCCCAGCTCGAAAGTCTGATAGAAGTTTCATAGAACACTATTTGTGGAATTTTCAAACCGCTATAACTTTTGAATGGATCAAGCAATTTTCACACGGTTGACGGCATTCGACGCAGTTTTATCATCCTCATAAGTAATTTTGATTGATCGAACCACAAATTTCGGAGTAATTCCAAAAAAACACTTTTTCGGGTTTCTTTCGTTCACGATATCTCTCGAAAGAATCAACCGCTTTTGACCAGCTTGGTGGCGATCGACGTGGTTTTTCAAGCTCAAAGGCGGATTAGTTTTTGAAGTTGATCGATAAAGAAACCACTTAAAAAAAAATATTTCTTATTATTTTAAGATTTTTCAAAATTTCTCAAAATCTATCGGTCCGAATCGGTTCAAATTCACAGGAAATGTAATTTTGAGGGAAATATTTAGAACGCCGTTTAGTAGATTCCGATCGGTTTAAGGAAATGTAGGCATCACGCAGCTGCACGCATCGACGAATTTTTGTTATTTCGGCTTGCGGAAATCGTCAGATTATACATTTTTCATTATTCTTGAATTATTTCCTTCAAAAAAAAAAAAAATTTGCTACGCTCGAGAATGTCGAGATGACGTTTTTTTTACAACTTTGTTGCCCTCCCCTTTTTTTACGTCACTCTCAAATTGTCAGATTAGTGGAATATACACTTTTTAGGATGTAATTAATTTACCCTACCTTAATCTGACGCGCTCGGGAATTTCTAATGGTCAATTTTTTTTTACTAATCTGATTCAGTCTCCTTCACGGGCGGCCTTATATATGGACCTCATGTTTTGTGGAGGTACTTAACTGGGTACAAGGTATCCCCCTATATATTAATCTGCCGCGCTTTAGTAAATCCCGAAATCCCCTCTTGGGCTCCCCTACCATAGAGTCCATTTCATGAAAGAAGTCCCGCGAAATGATATTGAAGGTGAAAGAGTTCTGTTAAGCGGAACAAAAGAATCAAGGTGTTTTAATACCACTAAACAATGTTTGGAAGGGAGTCGCCGCCATGACAGGTACTTTTTAGAGTTGCCACATAATAATTTTTTGCTGTATTGATGGCTTTTATGATATAAATTCATTTTTGTGACAAAATTGAACAACTACATAACGAATGAAACTAGGTAACTGAAATTAAAACATATATTAAATAGTACATAAGCATTATAAACTTAAAGTTACTATTATTTTTTGTTGTTCATTATTTAATTGCAGGTGTGTCAGAGAACTGTAACAAGAATTACAAAATAAGGTATAACAGCGGCGAGTACTTCGAAAAAAATTGTCACCCCGGTGAAGAGTCGCCCGCATCCGAAATAGTATCAATATAAAAAAGAACAATTATATCTACGGCTAGTGATACTGAAACAGAATCTGATTCTGTTTCCATCCACTCTTCAGACAGTGATGTTCCTATGGCCACTGATCACAATTATTTAATAAAACTCTGAATAAAAAATTGTAATGCTTTTCTTTACACTATTTTCTCATCTTTCCCTGTAAGTAGGTAGAACACCGCTTATATAAGTAAATAAAAATATGCTTTTTCCATAACAGAAATATTGTTTCATCGAAGTATGCAGAAAATAGTATTATTTGATAAATTACATATTGTTACGAGCTAGGGGATCGGATAGAAACGCCGTAGATTTCTTCAAGGGTTTATTTCTAATTAAATCTACGAGGAATTTGTTAACACTAAAAATTATAATTACGCACTGAAATTCACTAAATCCACACACAAAATAATGCCACTAATTACTCTAATAACACGCACTTCACACAGTACTTGTATTCACTTTTCTTCACTATATTCGCACTTTGTCACTCCGGTGTTTATCGCTTGGTATCGCATTCAAAACTGAACTAACTGGTCGCGTTTCGGCTCGCTTATATATCCCTGGGAGCGATGTTCGAGAACTCTCTAGGCGGCGGCGCAACTGAGTAGCGATCGCACAATTCTAGAACGTGCGTACTAGCTATCTCTTTCGCACATTGCTCCGTCCTTGTCGTACGGCGTTCTAGAGTGCTCGGTCTAGCTTCGAGAAGGTTCCGATCTTCCCTCTCTCTCGCGTATCGTTCCGTCCTTCTCCCACACCTAGAAAATTCGTTCTAGAACATTCCTTCGTCAAAGGGGTATAACCAGGCCTGAAAACGCCTGAAAACGGGTTTCCTGAAAAGTGTACCATTCGACTACGCGTGTTCTGAAACGGCCTGAAAAAATGTTTCAGGCTCCTGAAAACTAGGGTAACATTATGTAAATTGCGATTTTCTAATATGTGATTGACCCTTCCCTGAAACGGTCAGAAATCACATTTCAGCCTGCTGAAAAGTTCTCTAAGTAGTGGAAAAATGTAGAAACATTGTAGTCGACCCGTCTTCGTAACACTACCCCCTCCTTAGACATGCTCGTCCCGAGCATCATCACTTTCTTTCACCGTTATCCTTTCCCATGGAGACCGAGTCTGCGAATCCTTAATAGCTGCACAATCTTTACATTTCTTGATCCAGTCTTCAACATCTTCACGATAGTGTATCCAATAAAATATTTCTTTAATCTTCATAAGAGTCCTCTTTACTCCTAAATGTCCACTAGACAAGTCAGTATGAAACATTTCCAATATGTCGCGAACCTTGGATCTTGGCACAACTATCTGCAAATGATCGCCTTGAGCATTTTTCACTTTGCGACATAACACTCCATTATGTAGAACTAAACTATCCCATTGAGCCCAGTAACTCTTAGTAGTGGTACTTGTAGATGCGACTTTACTCCACTGCGGCTTGACAGCTGAAGATTTCATCCAATCCAGAATTGGTTTAATGTCACAATCTTCTTGCTGTGCTATCTGCATAAATTTTCCACCCCAATCTGAATGAATGGTGTCTGTTCTAAAAGTTCTCACATGGCCAATCTCCTTTCTGTCCTTTTTGTTGACCTTTTCACATAGCCGTTGAGACACATCTGAACTTCTTGTAACCTCTCTTTCATGGGCAGATAACATGTCCGAAAATTTCCTTAATTGTTCCTCTGCCTTTGATAGTTGTCTTGACAAGGCTTCCTCATAGGTCTCAGTATCTTTCCACTCTTGTTGATTACTGGCCTGTCCGTCCACATTGATAACTCTACAGACGTCATAACCACTATTTGTAGAGTGTCCTTTTAAGCAAACTTCCTGTTCTCCACACTTAAAGATTCCTTTTTCCAGATCTATTTTACAATTGTACAGCTTCATAAAGTCTAACCCGATTATGCAGTCATCTACTATGTCGGCAAGAACAACCTTGTGTCTGTAAAATCTTCCACCAATCTTGAAGGTTGCGATACCTTCTCCCCGATCGGTTATACGCTGACCTGTAGCTGTAACAAGCTGTACAATTCCTCGAGAAGGGCTTCCATAAAATGACTTCAGAAGTTGGTATCTGATTACGGTTCGTGAAGCTCCGGTATCCAGTGTTAGGTCACACTTAGTTCCATTGACAACTCCGTCGATAACCAAGGTATTCCCGCGTCTAACCTTCACATCACCTCGGAAGTCTTTCTTTGGGCACGAAAACCTCATGTGCCCCACTTCCCCGCAGAGGTAACAGGTTGGTCCACGTTGACACGAGTTTGGTTTTTCCGTGACGGCCCTAATGCGGTAAGGTCGAGAATCTTTCCGAATCGCCTCTACCTCCAGCGCATGGGCAAGAGCATCCTTCAGGTTCTTGTGGTGACCAAGATTCACACTAATCCTGACTTCACGATCTCTTATTCCGTCAATGAAGGTTTGCACTAATATCTTGTCTGCTACATCTGGTAAGGATGCGTAGGCTTTTCTTACCAGCTTCTCTATTTCCAGACCCCATTCTTGCAAGCTCTCACTCGGTCGCTGCGCTCTCTCCCGTAATTGAGCCCTATAGACTGGCTCCAAATTTGAGTCCCCATAACGTGACTCCAGAGCATCCAGCAGGCGCGTCAGTGTCACTTTACCTGTCATGACTTCTAACACGTCCAGGGCTTCGCCTCGCAGTCCCAACATAAGGGCGGTGACAGCCTGATCGTCATTCCACCCGTTTGACTCTGCCACAGTCTCAAACTGTATTTTGTACGCGCCCCAGGAAGATGTACCGTCAAAGGGAGGTACTTTCAGATTTCCAGATGGTGCTACAGTCGTTACGACACCTTTGGTCTTCAGGCACTGCATCTCTTGTTCTA